TTTAAACATGACCGCGTCGGTCCATTCGGGGGGTTTCGATCGACGGTCCAGCTTTCGGCTATCAAATATTCTGTGTTTTTTCATGGCTGAATTATTTACCCTGAATCCCAACGTTGTCCATCAAGCGGAGATGGCCGAGTGGTCTAAGGCGGGTGACTCAAGTTCCCCTCTCTTCGGAGGCGTGGGTTCGAACCCCACTCTCCGCAAAAATTAACTCGTCGAGCGAGTTGATCAATCCTTTTTGCCGAATGTGACGGTCTGTCTCTTCGTATTCGCCGTAGCCAAATAGGCCATAGGCTTCTCATGGCATCATGGCATACATATGTGGTGTGTGTTTCTTTGCTCCTTCTTCAGTTGCTGGTCTCATAGTCACTGCTGAACTGCTCCCACAGTCCCACCTACCAAACGATCGTAGTACACCGTAACCATGGGCCGACTAACGCCGTGACGCTGCGAGCATTACGCGCTTGAGAGCCATTGGCATCCGCATGTGAACCTTCAGCTCCTTCTGAGCATGTGAAGCACAAGACACGCAGGCTGGTCATGGCTTGTTGCGGTAGCTAAGGGCTATGTATATAACAGCCCAATCACGGTCCAATCCAGGTCCAATCTTTCTGTGAAGCTATACTTCATTGACGATTCAAGTCAACCATGAGTCGAAGCTAAGACTAACTAAGCTAGACTGCATGACCAAGATGCCAAGCATGTCCAGACAATGATAAGGCTATGATCGAGCTTGATCGAGTTGTAATTGCCCTGCAATTGCAACCTGAGAGCCAGATTGGCTATATGTATAAACATTCAACGTCATGGCACACACTTCATGGCGGCTTGCACCTAGTAGTGCTGTCATGCAGAAATTGAACCCCAAACCTGAGAACCAGATGTATTATGAAACTTGATTCGCCCTTGAAAATGTCCGGTGTCACGGGCAGCTCTAAGATGTATAGTACCATCAGTGTGTTCGACGTCCTCTTCCTTTTCGCCCAGAACCTAAGTTTGCACATGGCTAGTATAAATCATACGTATACTATGAGATCATTGAAGGCAGCAAGTGACTTTTGTAGCATGTGTACGCACATGTGATTCTTAGTCTGGATCTTTTGCAGCTTGACTGATGATCGATTATTGAAGCCGACAGTGAGCCAAAGACCAATTTCTAGCTGCAACGTCTCCCGACATTGGAAGTCCATGCAAACGCATACGGCCGATTCAATATAGTGAACATGCCCGTGAAGATGGTCGCGCCATCCAGAGTTACTATGTAACATACCTGGTGTCGGCCTTGCACTTGCATCATGTGCAATGATGCGGGCACGCCGAGTTGCCCTGCTGTACCGTGCAGGGCGATCCGTTGGCACAATCATTGGCGTGACTTTAAATCAAAATAATGCATTGCAGCGAGTCAACTGACCACAGCGACCACCATATCTTGGAGGACTTCCAAGAGCCTTATTGGCGGTGGTCGCTGGCATTAATTGCAAGACAACGCAATGAAGTTGTTCGTGATAAGTACAGGTTTTCTGAAGTGGATAAGGCCAGTATTGGTGCGGATCGCAACACAGGGAGAGAATTTTTCGTTTGATCCTCATTGTTGTAACAATTTGCTGTTGTATGTACAAAAGGGGTCAAAAAGTGACAAGCGGACTCTCCGTCTTTGACTGTTTTTCTAAAATTATACATTGCACTTCCTGAGCGTGCTGTATCAACTCGTCAGAACCCACATTTCCCTGAAGAACTTTTGGCCATTGACTAGACGGTATGCAATCCTCTTTGGGCTCTATCAATGGAGTTTGCTCTAGCGGAATGCTGAGCGCAGACCTGGCGAGCACTTCCCCCAGGTCGGCTAGGTACAGGTCGGCAAGATCGTACTCGTAAATGTCGTCGTCAATGATACCGTTTGCGTTTGTGTATATGGCCGCAGAGAGGAAGAACGACCGGCCCGAAGGCAGGTGCATGATGTACCTAGGCAGGTAAAGGGCACGGTCAGCTTTTGTGCTGGTTTGAAACAGGTTTTACAAGATTGCCGGAGACAGGTTGAATAAGTCTGTCGAGTGTGGGAGGACTGATATCTGCGAGGGGGCCATCCGCTCTTAGAGACAGTCGCAAGAGGCGGACAGCTGTACAGCAAATGCCGGTCCAAACGGCCATCAGAAGGGTTCGTAACCCCTCTATCATGAAAACGTGGTTACTGTAGTAAATTGCACACAGTTGCCGCCTGATAATACAAATCCGTACGGAGTGGCGAACTCACGCATTGTCGATGCTAAAACCGTAGGCCCTGCCGACCTTGTTGTAGATCCTCCAGTCAGCTTTCGGGCTCACTCGGCACAGGCCTGGCAGGAAGAACTGCACAGAGTGAGGGCCACGTGGCGCGTCTCAGAAGATCGAAGCAGAACGGCGGCCGATCGTCACTATCCTGCTGCAACTTTTCTCGTCAGGATTCAGCCACTTCCCAAGGAACTTATACTTCAAAACCGACGAGTGCTTCGTTCCTGGCATCCTTCGCAAAGCAAGATTCGACTGTTAAGTAAGATCATTGGTCAACATTTTCGAATTGAACTGCGCTATTGGTTAGTGGGGGCCTCGACCCACAATAGCCGGGAATCAGATGCAGACGACCTCAAAAGCAACGTCTTTGGGGGTGTGTTAACGCGCAGCGGCGCTGGCGCATCTGATTGACACCCCGTCTTTTTGCGGTGCTGACCTTGCAATAATCGTCGGGGTAGTGGCGGGAGTCGTACTGCGGGTTGCACGACTGGGAGGGGTACTGGAGCATGGCCTCCATTAGGACGGCCCGCTGTTCCGGCGGAAGCGACAGAACGGACGTGGGGCTCTGAAAAAGTGGAAAGAGAGAGGGGGAGCTCAAACAAGGTGAGGGAGGTTTTGGCTCACGGAAGTGCTCAACGAGCATTCCTGGGGCTCAAACTTCAGCGATGACTGGAAACCAGAGATGCAGCGGTAGACAATTCAGAAAGAGTGCGACAACTACTGGGGCAGGTTAAGAAGCTCTTGCTCCAACGAATGCGTAAAAGTTGTTCCGCCTAAGGAATTCCATCGACCAGCAGGACCAAGGCCCCAAAGCAACTTAACGTGCTAGCGAAGAGACGAAAAGGAGCCGAAGAGAGCACGGCTAGAACCGCGGGGCAGCAATACGAGCCGCTTACACGAGAGAAGGCGGGGAAAAACAGGGCGACCAGGAAGTCCTGGAGGTCGGTGAGGGTCATGTAGTTCTTCCAACTGAAGTCCATGGGCTCCTCCACCTGCAGCAAGCAGCGGGTGAATCAGGCAGGGGATCAGCAACTAGGGGTGGTCCAGTTCTTGCGCGTCGCTTCGGTTTGATACGATGTATTTTGCGTGCAAGGCAGTCACAACTATCTGATGCTGATAGCCGAAGTTTGGCCGATTATCAGACAACTATGTTGGAGCACCGTGTTGAGGCTTGTGGAAACCGGAGCAGACTGGGAGAAGGGCAAAGGGGAACCTTTTGAGCGGGCTGCCTCCGCGGTCGAAATATTTCTGCAGGCGTCGCTGATCAACTTCGAGGATGGTAATGGAAGAAATAGTAGTCACGCAGACGTATCAATCAGCAAAGGTGTGTTTCTTTTAACCCCGTGTAGAACCCCTTCTCACCAGGCGGCCGTCCTCAATGTAGCCAGTTCCAACGGCGACCCCAGGCACCCCCTCCCGAGTGCCTAAGTCCAACCGACTGCGAGTTTCGGGGAGGCAAAAGGGCGCACTCTCGTCCCGCACTTCGACCCGGCCACCTAAGCGGGGGTCGTCTTTATTTCTGTCGGGAGGCGACAGCCCGAGGCGGTGGGTGAGACGACAGGCAGAAAAGCCCATAGCCCACCTGAAAGCAGAGCGGCTATTGAGCGGAGGCAGAGCGGTTGTACGTGGAAGCAGATGGCTACCTATTGAGGTGTACGCTACGTTCTGAGGCAGGCGCTAGACAAGGGAAGCAGAGCAAGTGTGAAGTGAAAGGCAAATTTTGAGAATGTGATCTGCATGTCGGAGGTGGAATCTACTGGAAGGAAGCCGGGCAACCTTGAGTGGGATTAGAACGGGTCACAAGTGGCAGTAGAGCGGAAAGGTAGTCACAGCACTGATCAACCCGAAATCGTCAGTGAGCAATTGTCACTTTGGTGCCATTTTGCAGTAATTTACTACACAATGTCTGCTGTAAAGAATGACAAGGAGGGAAGATACAAACTGACGTAGAACCGACAGAAAGAGTTCGCGACAGTGTATACTGCGAAAGTTTCCCCCTCTTCGACTGGCAACTCAAGCCACTTCAGAAGGCAACTCAGAAAAAAATGGGCATAATGTGTGGAGAACGTAGGCGGCTTTGGGACGGGAGAGCACCTTACATCCTCTCGTTGAGCTCAGCTTGACCAACAAAGGTGTAGAGCCGGTTGTAAGCGTCATTATCGGAAACCTGCACGACAGCCCCATCACACGAGCGCCTGAGATCCTAAGAACAACAATCTTGTATGGAGATTCGATGCAGGTAGATCAGCAAAGGAAAGTGTCTTTCTATAAACTGGGCCTTGACCCAAGCGGAGTAGTGTTATAAGCACGAACTTGACAAAATTGACAAAGGATGGCAAAAAAACTTCGTCTAGACAAGATTTGGACCATGAAAGGTAGGATGACGATAATTGACTCTACAAGACTGTGTGCTAGGACGGTTTGATAACAAGCGACTGATGATCATCTGCATGTCAACTTACCAAGAACACTTTTCGAATCTCGTGTTTGAGGGTCACAAAGCCCCCCTCCCGGTTTGTCGGGTCTCTGTCAAAGATCTTCTCATGAGGCCCCAAGGGATGAAAGCAAAGGGGCGTTTGGATGTCAAGGCCAAGATCTGTTCGAAACAAAGGGGCACTTTGTTTAAAACTAGATCTTATCAACATTTTCATTTGTCAATCTAGACGAACGAGTTTCATCACAATTGGGGCTATCTGGTTCCCTCCGCGTAGACTTACTATATCAGGGCTTCCACGTTCTAAGAAAGAAGGCAACAGGGAAAGCTGGATTTGTAGGCAAGATGCAAGATGTTACCACAGATAAAGGAGGTGGCAGCGGTCGCTTGAGCCTTGAGCAGAGTGGACTTTGTAGACACAAAGACAAAAGAGGAACTTCTCACCTAGATCTCCTGACAACCTGCGGGCTTTCTCTAGTGCTGTCACAGCTCCGCACAGCTTGATCGCACTGCGACAACATGAACGTGCAATTATCAGCTAGGTCCTTTTGACGGGCAAGACTGTGGGCCAGTAAGCAGGTGGTTACAACCTTGCTTTTTTGACCTGGTCAACTAAGAGAGTTGTGCAGCTTCCTTGCAACTGAACAGTCCACCATTTATACCACCATCACACGATGATTGGTGTTGCACTGATTAAAACAGGGGGGGTCATTGCATCAATGGGCTTATGATGCTGATGGTGGTGCGCTTATGACAAGATCCAAATCCGGGTGGACTTGCCTGGCCGGATAGAAGTATTCCTTGTCAAGTCTGAAGCCTTGTCGCTTGAGCTTCATCTGGCCATCCACCGCCTGGACTTCTGTGAAGAGGACCTGCATTACAGGGCACATTATCAGGGCTACTTCATCTCTGTGGTGATTGCAGAACTTGTACTGAGCTATGGAGTACTCAACTAGATAGGCTGTTCCAGAAAGGTGTTAAGCACTTACCTGGAGTCGATGCTCTTGCGCCGCTGCCAGAAGTGCATCAAACTTTGCAGGCCAAGCTCTGAGTATATCGAGCAGTTCATCCCCATGTTCTGGTACACAAGTGGACATCCTCTAGGTCTGGCCTTTGCAAAAGGGGACTGTTCAAAGCTGCAAAGGCACTCCAAAAGCAACATCTGACTTTGGATTGTCTGACCAGTCGCCTGGCAGCTCAAGCTTGCAGCATTGCGCATTGCACTCTCACAGCGGTCTCTACGTCTTAAGTTTCATGGCACTGACAATGATGTACAATGGTGGAGCTCGTAGAGCTTATGGAGCCGCCTGCTGAGCCTGAGGCCCTCCTTGCAAGCTGTTCAAGCACCAGCTTTGATTCTTCTTTCGTTTGAACTTCGAACTGATCTGGTCTCAAGTTGAAGAAGGTCACCGGCTGCAGAGCAGTATTAGCACAGCCAGATTTCTAGGTATACGTACTGGGTATTCCCTGGCACCGCCGGCGGGTACCCGGTTATGGCTTTGAACTTTGCCCAGCGTCTGATGACTTGAGATGGTTATCTAGCCTTCGATCAATTGAATTCTCTTCATCCAAGGGCTTTTAAAGCCCGATGGGACGTAAGGCTGACCCAATATAAATAGAGGTTCGAACAATATACTAACAGTAATAGGTAATATTGTCTACCTAGCTTCATCGAGGCCTCCCGTAAATTTATAATGCCTGGCAATAGAAAAGCATGCACCGACCAGCTATCATTGGCAGAAGAAGCAGTGAAGCACTCACAGGTAGGAGCGCCATGGCGAGAGACGACGAAGGCCGTCGGGACAGGAGTAGGAGGGAATACGAGAGCGATGGAGAGGAAGACACTCGTGCCGTGTCGAGGAAAGACCGGAGTTCAAAAAGAGACAGGAGCGAACGCCGGACCGATCAGGATAAGAGTAGAGAGCAAGGGCGCAGGAAAGATGAGGGCAGGAGGGAGAGGGCGGCAAGCAGCGATGATGAGAGGGAAAGGGGCAGGCGGAAGACCAAGGGCAGCAGCCAACGGAAGCGGAGTGGGGGTTCGAGAAGGCGCTCCGATGATGAGTCAGAGGCAACTACAGAAGACGAATCCAATGATAGTGAGAGGGACCAGAGGAGGAGGCCAAAGAGTAGTAAAAGAAGGAAAAGGAGGCGGGAAGAAGAAAGCAGTGACGATAGCGAAGAAGAGAGAAAGGCGCGGCGTGCTCGAAAGAGGAGGGATAGAGAAAGTGAAGAGGAATCTGAAGATAGTGAAGGAGGCGGGGGAAGAAGGAAGGTCACGCAGGAGGAAATAGAGGTGTATCTGAAAAAGAAAGCTGAGAAGAAGGTGAGCAAACACACCTCACCATCTCATTCTGATAGCGAAGCCGGATGGACGTTCCATTGGTGTGGAATGGCTCTGAAACTGCAATTCGAGTCCTGTTGCCAGGTACTGTGTTGAGTATGGTGGTCGAACTGCTACATTCCTAAAGTTTAATGGTTGTTGCAGGCTAAGAAGTTGGCTGCAAAGATGAAGACATCGACCGTGGCAGGCTACACGGATGAAAGCAATCCTTTTGGTGACGCCAATCTCACGGAAAGGTAAGCTTAACTGGGTCTGCCCAAATGAAAGTTATCAGGAGAGCAGGCAGTGGTGTAATTCCTTGGCAGTGCAATTGGAAGCATCCACTATAGATTATCCTGATTTTGTTATTGCCCAGTCTTTCCTCTTTGCGTCGGGTAGAGGTCAGCCCTTGGTGGGCACTGAGCCTCTGACGGTGGTGTTTCAGGTTTGTCTGGCGGAAGAAGATCGAGAAGCACATTGCTGCGGGAGAGGATCCAAAGGACTTGTTATCAGTAAAAGCCGAGAAGAGGAGGATTGCAGAACGCATGGTAAGCTCAGCTCTCTGCTGTTGTGCTCTTTCACTTCAATCGTATACACTCGATTATTAGCCATGGATTATTGTGCTCTCGCGTCAATATTGGCTTCTGGTGACTGGAACTTCTTGTTAGCCAGTCTGTTGTGCTTCTTTGCAAACAATCATTTCTCGGCCTTGTTTCGCATTTACTGTGCTTCTGTTGAAAATCTATTGCAAAAAGCACAAGAAGAGAGCTCCGCAGATGCTGCTTGCACCTCCCTTGCCAGTGCTACCAAACGTTGTGTCCTCACTGCCCTTTCTCCGTCCATTTTGCTGCAGGCCGAAATTGAGAAGGTGAAGAAACGGCGCGAGGAGCGTGAGAAGGAAAAGGCACAGCGCGAGGAAGAGCAGGTAACTGTGTCTCCGCTCAAACAATTGGCAAACTGTAGCAAGGGACAATTATGCCGGAACCGAGTCGAGTCGGTTCCGAGTGTGCTGGAGATTGGTTGGTCAATCGTTTGTCAGTCAAGGTGGAGAAACTTTGTATGCGAGACGCTTTCCCCTTGATGATTGGGCTCACTATCTTCTGCTGTGAGCATGACCATCTTTTGATGTACCACTGCAGGCCCTGCTCGCGAGGGAACGAGCCCGAGCAGAGTTTGACGACTTCGAAAAGAAGGAAGAAGAGGTAAGAACGGCACACTTGCTTTATCAGAAGTAGACTCCGCTTGAGAGAGGCAAAGCTTGATTGACGAATTCACGATTGGTCCTGCTGCCTCTTCCACGAGTCAAGACGCAACCTCGCCAGTCTGGTTTGTGACGCTCGACAAAGGTTGTCAAAACGTCCTCTTGAAGATACTTCCCGTCATTCTTGACTCCGGCCGTTTGCAGTTCCAATTTGAGATGTCCAAGGCGCGTGCGGAGATTCGCCTGCGGGAGGGCCGCGCCAAGCCCATCGACATCCTGGCCAAGAACCTGAAGCTCTCCGACGACTTCGACGTCGAAATCGACGAGCCCTATACCGTGTTCCAGGGCCTCGCCGTCTCCGACATGGAAGAGTTGCAGAAGGAGATCCGCATGTACCAGGAACTAGATAGAGACCCTGTCCTGCACGCGGACTTCTGGGACGCAATGATGGTGATCTGTGAGTATGAGATAGCCGAAGGGAAGAGGCGGGACGCCTTGGAGTTGGCAAGGGTGAGAGGGGAGGACCCGCCTCCCGAGTATGCAATCGAGGATGCGGGGCTACATGCGTCGGTGGATGCGGACGTGAAGTCGATGCTGACGGGCAAAAACCACGAGGAGCTGGCCAAGATGGAGGCGCAGATTCAGGAGAAGATGGCGCAGGGTACCGCCAAGGTAAACACTCTTCCCAACCTGGTCCTATTCATTTCCGCGAACCACTGTTTCCGATACAACCATCTGCCGCTTTTGTTGACAGCAACTTTCAATAGACACTTTTCAGACGCTTCCCTTGTTCAGGCCCAGCCGTGCTACCATCTGTCATAGCTCCTCCCGTCCATCCACCCTTTGCAATCTCATCGCTTTGCTCTTTCGAATGCGGATTGCATTGTTCGCCAATAGATCATCATCTCCCACACCTCCGTTGTCGGCGCTCATCACATACGCATCCCCACCAAATGGTGCAGGTGGTGGAGTACTGGGAGGCCGTGCTGAAGCGGCTCAAGGTGTTCAAGGCCCAGGCGCGCCTGCGCCACATCCACGCGCAGCTCCTCAAGGAGCACCTCGCGCGCCTCCAGGCGCCCACCCGCGAGGAGCGCGAGGGCGCGCGCGCTGTGCTGGCAGGCACCGCTCCCCCGGTAGAAAGGGAGGAGACCCCCGAGGACGATATCTACAGGGAGGACCCCGTGTCATACTCCCCGGAACCCGAGCCGGAAGCAGAGCAAACGGAGGGAGCGCAAGCGGCGAAGGAACCGCCGCCGGCGGAGGAGCTGATTGAATACGATGGGGCGCTGTCGCCGGAGCCGTACCGGCCGGGGGCGGATGAGGTGGTGGTGGACGCAGAAGCGGACCAGCTGGAGCAGGTAAGTGGGTGTGATTGGCCTGGAAACGAGCGGGTTTGAGGGCTGGTGGTTGTGTGTCGTGTCAGGGCAAGCGCACAGGGCCACAGAAAGAGATCTCTGACAGATTGCAGTCTTGAAAGAAAGTCTTCACTCGGCGTGCGCCCTTGAACGCGTCAGAATTTCAACCGGTCCGGCAAGGTTGATGTTAATGTTGATCTGCCATTTGAGTTGGAGGGGGCGGTCGAACTGAGATTCCTTTGCAAGCCGAAGCCGCCACGTCTTGAACGGGTTTCGGAAGGTGCTCCGGCAGAGAGTCTGCCTGCATTTCTGACCTGTCCGTTTTGCTCGTGTTAAACGGCCGGGAGTGCTAGCGAAGCAGATTGCAATAGTTTTGCAAGCACCCTTCCTGTCATTCGGACCACCGAGCGCCTAGCATTCTTCATTTGCAAGCAGAGACTTGTGCACTTTCGGACCACTATTGTAGGCGCTTTCAAGCGCTCTCGCCCTGCGAGTCCATGATTGGGCTTTAAAGGTACAGTTGCTACATCTCCTGTCCGTTCGATTCCAGCCCGCCGTGAGTGAAGCTGAAGGCTCTTTAACACACTCAGCGTCAATCAAGGTCTCAGACACGAATACTGACGTCACCCCTGTACGCCTCTCCCAGGACCGCAAGCGGCTGATCGTTCTGCAGCGCGAGCGGCGGAAGGCTCAGGCGGCGAACGCGGCGCCCAGCCAACAGGACGACGACGAGCGCACCCTTACTGCGGAGGAGAGGGCGCTGGCCAACCGGGCAATGGGGGCCGACCCGGGGGACGTCGCGTTCGGGGGAGAGGTCAACCTGGAGTCGCAGGTGAGGCGTGACTCTTGGCGACACCCAGCAAACAGCACCCATTTTGTCCTTTTCAATGTTGTCAGAAGATTTTTGAGAAACGAATATGGGACACTTTCTCCTCGACTTTTGAGAATCGGAATTTTCGTCCTGAGTCAGTGGAGGGAGACAAACGGGTCCACTTGCAGAGGGCGTTCTTCGTGGAGATTTTGATGTCCAAGGAAGATGAAGCGGACACTTTTTCTTCCTAACATAAGTACTTGGAGCTCGATTCATTTGATTCATTTGAGTTCATTCTTGAGCCCAATTCCAGGAACCAATCCCTACGCTGCTGACGCAGGTTTACTGGTGGCACGACAAGTACCGGCCGCGCAAGCCCAAGTACTTCAACCGGGTGCACACGGGGTACGAGTGGAACAAGTACAACCAGACGCACTACGACCACGACAACCCGCCCCCCAAGGTGGTGCAGGGCTACAAGTTCAACATCTTCTACCCGGACCTTATCGACAAGACCAAGGCGCCCTCCTTTGTCATCGAGGAAGACCCCACCAGCAAGAACGGCGAGACGTGCATGCTGCGCTTCCACGCTGGGCCGCCCTACGAGGTACGTACCGTGTTATTCCAAGCTAACTTAGAACGAGAATCTGTTCGGCACTGCTTTTGCTTACCGGGGTGGTGCGAAAGGCAATGGCAGTCAACTGCAAAACCTGTTCGGATCTTAGTGGCCGACTTCCGGTTCTGTCTCCTGCTCCTCTACTTGGTTTGTTTTACTCTGAAGCGATGTTGGTAGACTCAAAGTGCCTGTCAAACTATTTTGCCTGCTCAACAAGTGCGTGCTTTTAGGCCTCTCTCCATGAGTTCCTTGACTCTAGAACAGCGTTTGCGCCATGGTCAGAACCGCAGGGTAATGATTCTTCATGGTTCACGGTTGCAGGATATTGCCTTCCGCATCGTCAACAAAGAATGGGAGTACTCGCACAAGAAGGGCTTCAAGTCTATCTTCGAGCGGGGTATTTTGCACCTGTACTTCAACTTTATTCGACACAGGTATCGTCGTTGAGTTTGATGTAGCCACTCGTTTGCCCATTCTTGACGGCAAGCTTTATGACTTAGAAAAGATGTCCCGGGTACTGCAAAGTCCTCAAGCAATCCTGTACCGTGCAAAGGTGGTCATAAATATTCACTCATCAAACATTGCATGACGCATCTTGAAAGTGCTCCGACAACGCTTGAGCTCCATCCTACAAGAGCATGCAAGGTCAAACTTGGTGGCCCACAATGCATGATATTGGCAGCGCTTGGTAGTGCTCATGTACAAGCACTTAGCCTGACTGCGCTGCTGACTGAGGCGCGTTGCCTATGATAGCGCAGCAATCGAGATGCCTTCTCCTCACTGAGTCTGGCTCTCGTGAGTCACTGGCGCGGCGCGCTGTCCACAGTTTTAACTGAGGATGCTATCGAACGTACACTACCGTACTACTATAGGTTCTAGGTCACTTGAGTCTAGAGCCTGTTAGGAAACCTATAGGTAGACATAGTAATCGCACATGCATGATACTTTTTGGCTTATTGTATGATACAAATTTGTATATCATGCATCCTCGATTGATTGGATGATGTGTGAATGAACCAAAATGATACCACCGGGCATCTTTTGTCCCTTTTAATGGCCCCCATTTACATATCTGGGATCAACGAAAAGAGTTTATTTACACTAGAATAAGGACCAACGTAGTAAAGATCGTCGTCTGCAGGAGGTCTCCTGTCAATATATGATCTAGCATATTGGTCATATTGGTCAGTTCTTATGCTTTAAAAAGGCTAGCTTTCGACAACAAAGATACGTAACTTAGGCACAAACCGGCTTTAAAAAGACGTAAGAATTTAAGAAACACGGGAACTTACCAGAAAACTTTACTTCAATCTCTGTTAACGGAACTGGGTTATATCAAGCAACCTAGCAACTCCAAGACCTCGTCGACTGAATGATACATCATGCATGTCATGCCGCCCCTCTGATAGAACAATGCTATCATACACAAATCGGTTTCTATGCCTATATAGAGTCTAGATTCTGACTCCAGTTTGGCGCATGCATGTTACTGGTCAGGAAATCAGATCTTTTAGATTCTGTTCAGTTTTGGGATGGTCACAAGCCTTCGATCTTTCGATTGTAGTAGATCCTACGGTGCAATGTTGTCCATAAGACTCGTAAAATGGCCACATTCGCACGAATGTGTTGCCAACTTGCCACGCGTCCCAATCGCTGAGCTCCGAGTGTCGAAAGGGGCCGTTCGGAATCTTGGAAGAGGGTCATATGGGGGATCCCTATGCCTAGGATATGTCTGGTCTCGCAACCTTCCATGCAGTTGAACCTTCCTCATCCACGTCCAGACCCAATACCTCCTGTGGGGCTTACAGTCTACTGGAAGGAGAGTTATCTCCACTAGTTCCCAATGCGCAGCAGTCAAGCAGCACAGAACGCCCAGCAGATGCAGACACTGCGGGAGCTGCGGTGAAGCCCGTCCCGCGCCGCCCCAGCGGCTTGCCTGCGGACACTCGGCATGGCAAATGCCGTTGGTGGCGCGTTTGCTGGGGCTTTTGGATCTGTAGCCATACCCCTGCAAGCCTTACAAAGTTTTGTCCAAGTGTACAACGACATATGCGTTGCGCGAAAAGCAATGACCTTCAATGAGGAGCGCGGGGAACAACTGAAGAACCGGGTCCGGTTCGTGTCGCACCAGCTGCAGAGGAAGTATCAGATTCTGGAAGCAGACATACAGGCGGGGAGGTTGAGGGGGCAAGATGCCGAACTATTCGCGTAAGTCTGCTCTTGTATCTGACGAAGCGAGTGTGCTGCAAAAGGTTCAACCATGAAAGAAGAATCGGCACTTGCTTGACTTGTTTGCCTGCCTCCCAACATGGTGCTAAGCATCCCAGATTGAGGAAGCTGTGATATGTGAGCACTGGAATTTCCTTACCGTTGCTAGTTGCAGATTGAGACTGATAGCCCCCAGTCAAGGAACCACATTGGGACCAACATACTAATCTGCATCATTAAAATCTGTGCTTTGAGGAAGCATCTGTCTCGTCAAAGAAAATGTAGTGAGAAGTTGGGCAAGCAGATATAACTCCTTATCTTCCAGGAGCTGCATTCATGCAAAAAGAAGGTTCTGCATGATTTGCAAAGGCTCATTGAAGCTTGGAATAACATCCAGCTTGGTCGCGATTCTGTACTTCTTGGACAACACTGCTTTTGCATACCGTATTTTGGACTTGCTGTCTAGAGCTAGAACTGCAGTTTGCGGCTTGAACATTGTCCTTTCAAGAGTCTTGGTGCTAGTTTGCAGCCAATTTACCTGGCCTACTGAGCTTTGCCTACTCCAGTCTTTCAAAGAAGCTGCTTTTTAAAGCAGTACTTTTTGAATGCGTCATAAAAGCAGCCAGCTGACTTCCCTCATACACAAAGTCATGGAAAGAATGGGTGTCCGAGGGTTTTCCAGTTGAAAATGAGAAATGGTCTAGGTAGACCAAGGCAGATGCGTCTTTCTACTGGGAATCTCAAGCTCATGGTCAGGGGATCCCCCATGATAAGTGTCCGTCTGCTCCTGTTCCACTTGCAGCTAATACTTGCATGCATAATGTATGGTATCACGACAAGAACTTTATACGCAAGCATGCCAGAACATTGGCAAATTACAACAAATTCGGGCTCCTCAAGCTGCTCCTCAAGTGACTGCAACGAGTGTTTCCATCTTCCCCCACACTTCGGGTGTTCCCCTGAAACTTGCCCAACCTACATGCTTAGCCTTCAACTAGATTGCTGAGCATCTCAAAACCTGTTTCTGTGTGCAGTGAGCGCGTGATGGCCTTCCGCGCGGTGCTTGTGCAGGCGCTGACAATCATCACCCGCTGCAAGGGCAACAAGCTTTACCGCTCTGCCAATGCCAAGTCGATCAAGGAGGACATTGTCAGCATCAACGTGCAAATCACGTAAGTTCTTGGAACAATGGAGAGACTGTTGTCCAGTTGCAAGGTATTTCAAAGGATTTGATATAGGTGCTCGTCACATGTTTTTCCTCAATGTTCGTGACAATATAATCTTCACACCAAAGAGTGCTTGGGGCTAAGGGACTGTCATTGGCTCTCATTCTGCCATTGGCTCTCATTCTCCTGAGCAGAGGAGAAGGTTACAAAAGAGATAATCCGAAACATTCTGAGGCACACCTGTCTTCACAACTGCGCCGCTGTCTCTGCTATTGGTTCAGTACGCTCTCAACGGCCAGACACGCTGCCTTCTTCTACCTTGCAGCGATTGCATCAACGACATGCACCTCCCCTCCATCTCATTCAGCTCATCTTCCACCAGCTCCAACGAAAGCGAAATCCTGGAACGAACTCTGAGCAATGCACTTGAGGATTCCCCAAGTTCGAGCGGCATTTCCGACGAAGGCAGCTCCAGCGCACCCGGACCGTCCGCGAAAGAGATCGAGAATCTCAAGGGCTACGCCACAAGACAACTCCAACTGCTGGGGCTGTTCACGAATCAGGAGATCATGGCGTTCACTGAGTACGTGCAGGTAAGGCAGCCTCTCGTTTCCGTGCTCGAACCTTGTGGATCCGTTCTCTCGCCTATAGCTTCGGTGTGGCTCAGGACTTTGCTCTCTGGGCTGTCGTTCCGTTCTCCGGCTTGTGCTTCCGATTCTTTGAAGCATGTTTTTTCTTCCTCTGACCTATGGTTCCGTTCTCAAGCCTTGTATTCCGTTCTCTGGCCCAAGACTTCGTTCTCTAGCATACGCTTTGTTCTCTAGCCCCATCATCCGAGTTCTATGACCCTTGATCCCCATCCGCTGGCCCGTGATTCCTATTCCTGATTCCCAAGCCTCTACTGACTGAACAACAACCCCCTCGCTTCGTTTCGTTCTTCCCTCGTTTCCCCATTGCACCACCTAACCAAAGGATTTGCGGTCAGACACGGTTCGACCCTTCGTCCGCCTGGTTGACCTCTGCACCAACAGAATCCCAACCCTGAGTCCGAAGCTGAGCTGCCTCGCACAAGATTTCGCCAGTTTCACCGTTGACGAGTGGCCTGACTCTGCATGGATGAGAGTCTTTCTCTATTGAGAGTTGTCCTTAGCTCATGCTTAAACCTCTTTTGTTTCGGCGGCTGTCGTAAGACTTTCCTGACAGACGAGAAGCGTGCCCACTAACGAAAGGATCGGTCGCTGATCATCGGTTTTGCGCCTCACGCAGGCCGTGGTTCGCGGATACGGCATGACCTGCCTCCACAACAAAATGGCAACCGACCTGCCGTTCGCAACCCTTCGCAGCCCGGGGCCCGTCTTTTGCCCCGCGACTCTCCCGCCCCGTCTCAACCCCGCGCACCGCTCCCCGGTGTCCGCCCTCGCCGTCCGGATCGACACCGGAGACGTCTTTAGCGGACACCGGAACGGCGTCGTCTGCATGTGGATGAACGGCGTCTGCGCGGCCGTCTTCGGGGCGCAGTCCGCCGTTCCGGTCACCGCGCTCCTGGTCATGCCGGACGGAACGCTGGTCGTGGGCAACGGGCGGGGGGGCCTGCGGGCCCGCTCAACGGACCCCCCTTATGCTGACATGCCGAGCACGGACTACGAGCAACCGGGGGCGATTACCGCCTTGGCCGCCAGCGACGGGGGGGTGCTTTTCAGCGGGGACTTGACGGGGGGGATCGTGGTGTGGGCCCCCGGCTTCAGCGCTCCACGGCCGTACTTGAAAGCGCACGTCAAAGCCGTGACCGCGCTTTGCGTCACGCCGCGCAACGACTCGGACCAGGTTTTCGCCTTCAGCGGGGGTGCCGACGGGAAGATACGGGCGTGGGCTTTCCCCGAGCTCGTCTCCCCGCCTTGGGACGCGCACTTTGAAGTCCGATCTTGCGGAGGCCCGGTGCGCGCGCTCGCGCTCTCTGCGGACGCGAGCGCACTGTACAGCGTCCGCGGCAAGGGGCACGTGGCCCGGTGGGCCGTTCCGGGCGCGGACAAAAAGTGCGCGCTTGAGATTTCCCAGCTGGGAGGGGGGCCGCTGGCAGTCACCGAGCGGGGGCTGCTCCTCGGCGCGGCCAACCACCGGTGCCATGTGGCGGCCTGGCACGTGGGGGAGCTGACACCGGAGAACGTGCAATTTTTGAAGCAGTCATCGGACCCGAAGCGACCGATCCCCTGCGGAGGCGCGGGGTTGCTGCTGGGTGACAGTATTTATGGGCGGGGGAAGGGCACTCTCGGGCCGTTGGATGAGATCACGGTTATAAAAGTGGTGGAGATTGGGGCCCCGGGGGCTCAGGCACTGCTTGTGACCGGGCACAAGGACGGGGGGGTCCGCATCTCGAAGGTGGCTTCGTGGTAGCGACCGTGGCAAGCGTGTTGTGTTGTGTTGGTCGCCCTTGGCTGTGTTTTGCTGGGGAGTCGACAAGTGAAACCTGAGCATGAACTAGTCGCGCCGGGGATTGTAACAACTGTAAATACGGCTCCCGAATGTGCCTCCTCTAGTCGGATGAAAAACGTGTGGGTGGCAATAGATGGTTCTATTGGGTAAAGCATAGCTGCGACGCGATTGGTGTTGAGGTTGCTAAGAGCCGCAGCGGGGTACTGCATTTCTTCGCGGGCCACGTGGTCAACGTACTACTCATTCTCAGGTTTAGCGAAACCACGCCAGGGATCTGATGCCCGATTTCATGGATCACCAGTTTAGAACCTGACGTTATGTCAACTTAACGGGACCCACCAACAGTGCATAAGCGACTAGGGCCCGCAGTTTCTAAAGCAGCTCCGGCGCCACACCGACCGGTCCTCGGCGCGCCGCCCACCAGGGACAATTGTGGCTATTAAAGCCCGCACGATTTTGCATAAGTGAGTCAGTGACACTTATGGAGTCTTGAACATCTGGTGTCACGCTGTATGTAAATGTGTTCAAATTGCGTGCACCACGCTGGTAACGCAGTGGGTATTCTGAATTGGACGCCATGACAGTTGGCTTGCACAATTTGTCAACGAGATTTGCCGAGGTTGGTGGATATCTTAGATAATTGTCGAATCGTAATTCGGAATAACGGTCTCAATTGGATTGTACGTGTGATTGCTCCCGGTCGCGCAAGCACGCCGGGTCCTCGGATCCATGATCGGCGGCTTAGTACACCATGCATGTTCATGATCATTTGACTTGCAGCCGTAGCAAGCTTAGTACACCATGTGCATGTTTGATCATTTGACGCGTGCAGCCGTAGCAAGCTTAGTACACCATGTGCATGTTTGATCATTTGACTTGCAGCCGTAGCAAGCTTAGTACACCATGCATGTTTGATCATTTGATTTGCAAATCGAGCGATCAACCGTTGAACAAACCATCCCGGGTCTGCCGGAGACCGTGCTCCATGGCCATGGCGGCTAAGGGCGTTAGTAAAATAGAAGTTACAATCTTCTTATTAATTGTTCCTATACTGAGGATTTGAACCATCTGGCAGGCCACGCATTGCATGGCCGCCATGCCGCGCGCCATCTCTGTCACGGTGTGTTGTGACTTTGCCATGTGACATCATCGCTTCAAATTGAAGCCTGTACACGTTCATGCCTACCGTCGGTACGATGTCCGGTCATGCCAATTAAAATGTCCGGAATTTGCATGCCAGCATGCTGCGGTGCATGCCTGTCTCAGACTCATGTACTCATGTGAAGATGCGGATAGGAGGATATTTACTGAAAGCGAGCGCGCCGTGCGCCGTACATACTGGCACAACTTTGCAAACCGGACAAGTCACTAGACACTGTCATGGCTCACGACGGGTTTGCACGTCACTGACTCCATCAACAACACTGCAGCATACCGCGGCATCAATTCTTGAACGGGATGTGAGTCTTGAGTTCCGGGTTCAACGGCTAGCATGCTCGGTCAAGGTACGTTGACCACAGTGACTTGCCCGAGATATAACAGATGCTACACGAGCAAATGGCAAAGTGATTGTTACTCCATCCGATTTCAATGTCTACCAATTAGTCAGGATTCATGAGCAAGCTTGTTCCCAGAACCTACTACTTGTATTACGTCTTCGTTTTCTTGGAACAACATCAGAAGGATTGTCAGCGATCTTGCCAAGCGGAATCCACCAAAATCAGTGTTTGAGCGACTGTAATTACACATTCTTTATATTTTAGTTTGAAATACCTAATTGGAAGTGCTGAGCTAGTACGAAATCAAAGAAGGGACTTTGAGCTACTGGGGTACGATGATGTACGTAAATCAAGGCTCACCGCAGGCTCTACTCAAGCAACCCGGTCACTACGCAGCTACATTCACAGCTGCAAATCTCACGCTCAAATCCCTTCCTCGATGACACGGACCTTTCCCAAAGCCTGTCCCTACACAACGTTAGCCTGTAAACGCGCGCAAAACCTGTCGAGCAAAGAGCAGCTCCCCAAATCACTTTGTGCCTTTATTCAACACCCTCAGAGCCGCATACGCCAAGAATCGGTAGCCAATGAGCATGATGATAAGGGCCATCGCCTCAATGCCGCCCCCTCCCAAGGGCACCCCGTGCAGTGCAGGGGCGTTCTGGATGAGGCACGTGTTGTCGGGGCTCGCTCCAGGACACTCGTATGCGGACTTCGGGTCGTACTGGATCTTCAAAAGGAGCTGCCAAAACGAGGACAATACAAGATCACAAAATCTCCTCAGAATCAGGCCCACCGATCAGCACAGCGCGGAAAGTAAGGTACTTGAAGTGGTCGGATGACTCGCTGAGAAGCTACGAGACTCTTGCTACAACTTGCAAACTGGCGGCAACCAACAATTGCGCAAACAGAAGGATGCAAATCGCAACGTCCGTTTTTACGGATCGTGAGCGGGCCATTCTTCGAGCGAGATGGCAGCACAGCAGCCGGACTGCAAGTCTACGGCTGCCAATCGCATGTCTGACTTGAAGCAGCTTTGATGGCATTCACCCAAAGCGCATGAACCGGAGTCCACAAGAGAGTCGCAGGTCCTAGCACCTTCGCTTTGTGTCCTAAGGAGTCAGACAGAGCGTGGACAAGGAGAAACAGTCCTCGCACGATCAGAACCGGGGACGCTGTTGGAAGGTTGCCAGTGCTGGAGTGTGGCCGGTGTCTCTTCGAATCTTAGCCTTCGATGCTTCCTCTGAAGCAAACTCTAACGGCTTAAATTCTGCCTCGGGGAACCACGAGGCTAGATGTAGATGAACCGTCAGATTGAGAACCTCGAGATCATCAGACGGTTTCATCGGACTCGAAAGCCCAGACTTACGTCACCACCACCTTTCCAACAGTGTCCCCGGCTCCGATCCTGCGAAGACTGTTTCTCCTTGTCCCCGCTCAGACAGATATAGGTAAGCAGAGGGACGCGCTTACCCGGAAGGTGTAGTAGGGGAAGGAGATGTACTTGAGCCAGCGGATCCACACCGGAATCTGCCGCACGAAGTAGCCTCCCGTCAGCAGGAACGCCAGCATGATAACGCTCGCCAGCGTCGTGGCCTGCACAATGAGAGCAGCGGCGGGGTGAGCGACACAGCAAGAAACGCGCAGAGTAGAGGAGTGGGAAGAAGTCGTGACGGCTCCCATTAGCGGACAGTGCAGCTTTGTGACGATTCCCAGTCGTCAATTCCGACCATTTCGTGTACGAACAAGGCCGCAAAGGAGGCAAGACTTTCTTACACGCTGCATTCCCGAGAATACAGTGGCCAGCTGGCGACTCGATAGAAACACGAGACGGAGGAAGTGTCGCCCGCCCGCCTCACCTTCTTGAGGTCCATGACGGTGGCGCCTATGAGCAGGCCCAGGCTCTGTGACACCAGCACCGCGAGCAGCAACGTCAGCAGGTGCAGAATGTAGGCCGCCGCTGAATGCTTCAGGTTAGCCATCCTGCAAGGACAATGACAGCGTATTTAGGCCGCTGTTGCGTAGTGCGCTGTTTAATTTCGAAGCCAGGGTTGCAGATACAAAGATTAAGAGAGCTTGGACAAGGCATGCAACGTGGCCGTTTCTCCGCTGAGCGAAAAGAGGCCATATGCAACATTCGTTGAACTAAGTGGGCGAATGGATCTTTCTATTCATACGATATGGTAGCCGCCCTCCAGATTCCAGAAGACCTGGACTACGTTATGACGTCGGCTTTGACTGAACGTCTCTGGGCAGCGTGCGTTCAGAATCTGTGCTCCAGTCAAGACACAGCTGTAAAGAACACCAATCACGGTAATGAAGAGCGGAAAAGTATTGAGGAGGAGCGAAACTGGTGACTGACCAGTAGACGATGATGGTGAAGACGAAGGGCATGATAAGCTCGAGCGGCATGTCCCCCACGGTGCGCGCAAAAAAGTAGGCCGTCAGCCGGTACATGCCGACGGCGCGCTCCTTGTTCAGCATCTGGCGCTCCTGCACGGGGGCACAAGAGGGCGGCGGGTTCAGCATACGAATGTAAGGGTCGGAATCAATTTGAGCAAACGAGTGGCTGCAAAGACTGCAAGACTGGTACAGGATATCCGCATCCTTCGGGTTTACAAGATTCCGATGGCTAACAAAATCAGGTCCGAAGAAACCGAAGCGTGATTAACGTCGCGAGCAGTTAGGGGAAGCCATACGAGGGACAACTTCATTTGAAACGTGCCTGCTCGAGGATGTTAAGCTGAAGACTGCAAGCAGAAGCCGGCAAGAAACGATGCCAAACATCTTCAGTGGTCGTTTTCTCAGATCACGTATTCGAGGCCAACCGGGCACAAAAAAGCCTTTGGAATCAATCATTAGCACTGCTACGTCATCCCAACCAAAGGTTGATAAGGGGGCTAACCTGGGGGAAGGTGAAGAGTGCAGTGAAGAGGGGGAAGAAGCCCCAGAAGGTGCTCTCGAAGAAGAGGACTGCACGCAGGATTAGAGACAATATTCAAATTTCAAGCAGATCCAGTCACAATGTGCCTGAAACCAGCCTTTTCTTATCTCTGGATGAAGGAAAGCAGACGCGTAGCACAAAAGGGATGCCTGCCAACAACGCAGTGCAACAGAGTCAGGCTGCGAGAAGGCGGCCAGTACAATCTGCGCGGTCCCGCCACTCACTTCCGGTCTGGTCGGCAATGTCTGCTTCCGTGCGGTTCTTGGAGTTGAACCAGAGGCAGCCGCAGACGACCGAGATGGCCACGATCTGCACGAAGCGGAGCCCGCCCAGCGCCTCAAAGCGGCGCTCCTTGATGCCGCGGAGCGTCAGCAGCACCTGGGAAGACGAGGAATAGCAACTGGTTAGCTTGCGGGTGCCCGAAACCTTGTGCGGATGCTCAAAGCCTGGTGCTTTCAGGATCTTGGACTACGAACGCCCCATGATGCAGAGTAGGGGAACCAAAGTGGACAGAATAAAGGTGGAGAGATGAAACAACAAAAGCAGCGGACGGTTTGAGTGGGAGCAAACGCAATGCAAGCGAGGGGAGAGGATGCTACCACCAGAAGCCGGAGCTCCTCGGTAGGAAAAGCGGATGACAACGAAGAATGAAACGCTCGGGAAGGCGAGCTGAAAGACAAATTATGCTCTTAGGTTATTCGGCTCCAACTGCCAAAGACGGAAGATGTCGGTACTTACGAACTGCTCGAGCCAGGAGCAGGGCCACGTCTTCTTGCCCACGCTGCGTGCCTGGTCCTCCGCTGAGGCCGCCTGCACCAAGCACACGTAACCTGGAGTCAGCTCCGGACTTTTGAAGCTCAAATCGCTGGATCCTGGAAACTCCAAACGTAGGAAGTTCCAAGCGATTGTAATATATTTTGGTCAAGAGCGGCATGACTATAATAATCAAGAAAAGCTGGGTTGCATGTGATCTGCAAGTCTTGGTTCAGATAGGCCAAAATTCCTGCTGCTTTTACTCTTCCTCAATTCAATTGGCAACTCCTGTTTGCAAGATTGGGCAATCATTGAAGCGGCGGACTTTTAGAAAAGTACAACAATGGGAGACTGTTTGGTGCCGCGGCGCTCGACTCACAGGCAGGCTGTCCATTCTTTGTAGCTCGAGAGGACCCTGGGTCTGGCCGTACGCTGTTGCCAGCTCGTCTTTCACCGCCTGAGCATTCTCAGGGCCGTCAGCGACCTCGCCCGTCGCCAGGTCCTGCAAAAAGGGGCCGAGAATCTCTTGAATCGTTATTCAAGCTTTTCGGACAAAGTAGGCCTGAATCGTTTCTCGCAGTGTTGAGACAAACTAGGGCTAAAAGAAGGTCGTCGTATGTCGTAGAATCATCAAGCTCAAGATGTTGGGAACAAGTTGTGTATGAAAACAGAGGGTGAAATGTTCAGCCCTCTGATTCAGCTAATACGAATCGCCCCATTTTCTTCAGAGCATCCGATGAGTCGGAGGAAAGTTGAGAGTTGTGTAACACTTTGTCCAGTGGACTCAAGCACCAGCGAGCATGATCAGATGGAAGGCCCCGAAAGCGACAATCTTCTCTTGCGTGTTGCTTCTCCGATATAACCCCGTCTTCTTCCAAGTAATCCACCCGAATGCTGAAATCCATTTCTGCTCCAGCGCTCAGTGGACCTCAAAGAGGATGACTCACCAGCAGATAGTCTGCGGGGTTGGTAGCATATTTGGGCGTGTACCCACGCTGCGCAAAGTAGTCCATGGCGTTTCTGGCGGCCCCGTAGTATAGCGTGTTGCCATCGGCCAGCAGGAGCAGCTTGTCGAACATGAGGAACATCTTGCTGCTTGGCTGGTGGATGGTCGTAATCACAGTCCGGCCGCCCTGGAGAAGAAGAAAGGGAGGGGAGTGAAAATCCGGAAAGTGAGGGGGCCAAAGGAAGCACAAAAGACTGGCCATGAGGTGTCACTTCATTCCTTTTGTTCGAAAGGAAAGATACTTAGATGCCCTCAGCGACCAGTGATAAGCAGAGCAGTCAAACGGATAACCAGCGAGCACGGCCCTCGACCGATAAATGTTGCTTATGAGCCAAGCCTTTTCGGGTCCACTTCGCTGGGAGCTAAGTCGTGACGATGCTGCGAAAGAAGCCTTCCGATCCATCATGTAACTCAGGGAGACACAATCAAGTCCCTTCTAACAAAACAAGTAACTCGACTACTAAGTATCTCAATCAGCACCCAGAGGACTTTGGGGGTTGAAGGGGCCGCCTGTTACCTTGGCAAGCTGGTCGAGAGTGGTGAGGATCCGCAGCGCAGTGGTGCTGTCCAGTCCGGACGTTGGCTCGTCCAGCAGCATCAGGCTCGGGTTGATCAGCAGCTCGTGGCCGATGCTCACGCGCTTGCGCTCGCCACCGGAGATGCCGCGCATGAACGGGCCTCCAATGATTGTGTCCTTGCACCTGGAGGAACAAAATTGATGCTCAGATCAGAAAGGGGCCCTCCAGTAAACGTGAAAGGGCAACAAAGGGCGCACTGCGCTTGGGGCTCGATGCACAAACGCTGTCCAAGAAGCAACAAGCAAAACGACTTCTTCAAGCAGTGAATGTTGGCTTGTCCATGTCATGGAGGATCCGCAAGAAAAGTGAAACACACTGTAGGCCTGTTTCCAAAAACAATCTCAAATGATTGCAAATTGCATTTCCCACAAGACTATATCCCCAGGACACCCAGAATCACCGGGTGGCTCACTTTTCAATCCCGAGCTCTTCCATAATCTCCGTTGCTCTAAGCAGCTTCTGGCCCCTCGTCAGCTCCTTGGGCAGCCTCAGCAGCGCCGCGTACTGCAGCGTCTCGCGCACCGTCAGCGTGGCATACAGCACATCGTCCTGCGTCACAAACCCCATTTGGCGCTTCATCGACTTTTGGTATGCGAGGTCGTTGTACAGGATTCCCCCCGACGCGCCCTGCCGGAGGCGCCCCCCCAGAACGTTGAGCAGGGTCGTTTTGCCAGAGCCGGAGGGGCCCAGCATCGCCAACATCTCGCCTGCGGTTAAAGAAGCAGTGGTATTTGTTCAGAAAACCTCCTTGAAGGGGAAATGGAAAAGAGTTCTCGCGCATCGGAAGCTCGCCAGTCAGAGAAGCTGGCACAACCTTTGAAAGAGGATACATGAGCTGACCTGAAGACAAATATGGACAGACTCTGATCATGGCTGGAAGTAAAGAGGCTGCATTGGAGCTCATTCATCAGTTTTTCAACAAGCAGGGACCGCCTGAAGCATGAGAATCAAGCTGGGACTTCTGAGACTTCCTGCATTGGAACAACATCATTGAAAAGCACTGTTTGCAAGCCATCACACCCTCACAAATGTCCATCTGCCAGTTGTGTGTGCATTGTCTGTGCATTTTCAGCACCACTGAGCAGTGCCGCAGTGACATTGTAACATTGACAACAGATAGAATGTCAAAAGCGCGCAATGTAACAACACACATAGCAATCAGCTTGACTTAACGTACTTTGAACATGCCCCAAGCATACGATATGACGAAGCCGTCCCAGAGATCTCAATAAAAAGAGTATGTTCTGTCTGTTCGCAGACCAAGAACCAAACTACCCAGCTTCACCTTAACATAGTTCCACAATCCTGCATTCCTTGAACAGGCAACTGGATTTATACCAAATCAGTGCTCCAGGTCTGATTCCTACTAAGACAAGATACCAAACAAACAAACAAACTATCAACGTCCAGCTCATGAAAGCACCTCAATTCATGGCGGTCCCTCACCTGGCAGCACTGCCCCACTTATCCCATGCAGAATCTCCTTCCTGACTACCCCCATTGCCTCGCCCGTCTTCTTCAGCGACAACCGCTGAAACCACGGCTCGTGTGGACGGATGACCACTTCATATCGGACATCCCTGAACTTGACTGTGATAGGAACATCCACCCGGGCCAATGAGCTGACTTGTGACTTAAGCGGCGGCCTGCCTGCCTCAAGATCTGGCACCTGAGCGTGCCCATTTCCTTTGGTTTCTTTGGCTGAGCTCGCACCGCTCCAGGCAGGCCCCTCCCGTGTGCCATTTGCTCTTACGCCAGTATCTGGCGTTTCGGGAGCCATGCCTCTCAGTCAAGAATCACAAGGCGTCTTATATCAAAAGCCCCGACAATGCGCATGCAACAATATGAGCCTGACAACGTGCAAAATGGAGCTCTGCGTCGCTCTCTTTGCGCGGATCAAGGATCTCACTTCCTGTTCTGAAGTTCTGAGCAGACAGCCCAATCTTTCGTCACTCTACACATGCAGCTCCAGTCTCTACTACTAGTACTATATCCCGCCAACAAAACCTAAACCTGAGGCTAAGGGCAGAAATACATTGGCCGCAGTTCTGTTGGAAATCGCTAGATATTCAACTGTCGCAGTTTTCCAGTTTCCAACGGAACTGCGGGTTACATTGAACAGTTTTCCCCGCAGTTGAGTCCGCGTGACCCCCCCGAAACAGCGGCGCTGTGGTGCGCCAAATTTCAAATTGCTCAACCGTACGTACCGATTCTGCCGGTCTGCACTTCTCGGGGTCGGTACGCCTACGTGGAGGCAAACCGGTGGCCAGGAAGTCTCCAAGGTCGTCCAAGGAACTGTTAAAATGACTTCCAAAGGACCTCACCGAGGTCCTTTGGATCTCTAGCTCGCAGTTCCGTTGATTCCGGAAGATATGATCTGAAAGTCCATTTCACCGGGGGGCATTGGCCGCATAACTGCGGCAGTTCTTGATCAAGAGAGCAACTGTGTAATGTAAGCGGCAGTTCAGTTGAAAATATTCGAAAATCCAACTGAACTGCGGCCAATGTATTTCTGCCCTAAAGCATGGCGGTCGAATGGGCGCGCAACCTCACCACGTTCCCGTCTCGACCCCCTCTCCTGTTCTTCCAAAGGAATCTTGACCACAAACCGCTTCTTCAGGAAGGCTCCTTCGCTACGCTAGTGCTGAGCAGAGCGTGAGGTGGCAAGGTGCTGGCCAGAAAACGTACCCGGTACGACCTGGTATGACCGTATGGGACCGGTCGGCGGTTGCATCACGTGGTCAATCATTGCCCCGGACCGACTACGCAGTGGAGTCGGCGGCTATTTACCGGTTACCATCGACCCGCATCTCCTGAATCAAGGAAGGCCCGGGGTAGTCCGCCGAGAGACCATACATTTCAGGACGCCCCGACTCACCTCTCACTGTTGATCAGTCTGAGCCGCCTGAGCTGCGCAGAAAGCTGTACGGTATCATGATACGGCAGGCTCGAGACTCGAGTCCGGCAGTCAGGGCCGCCTGCCTGCCGTGACTTGCCAATGTTGAATGCATCATGGCATGTACCAGATCTTGGCGTCCGTCTCTCGAGTCTCAACCCCCTCTCAACACACTGCACAGCATTTGGTATTACCTAGTTCGTTCTCTGGGCCGAGAGTCCGAGCGTCTTCCAATTGTCCGACCTTTCTTGCTGTTTGATTTCTGCTGGCATGTCACTAGCTTAAGTTGTCTGCCATTTTGCTGCCGGTCAATATATGGCTCCCGTCAAGACGAAAAAGAGGAACGGGGGCCGGTCCAACGTAGGGAACCCTAAACAGCGGCCAATAAGGAAACGTGCCGGGAGAAAGTCGCCCCTACCAGATGAAAATGCAGGGACAGCATTGCAAATTGCGATACATACCAGAGTCGAGGAACAGCAAACAACGCTGTGCATTGAGCAGACTGCAATAGTGCAGGGGCTCGTAGTGGAAGATGGGACAAGAGTTACTTCTCAAGAAGTAGTCAAGTCCCTTGAAGTTCATGTAGAGTCTGAGATTCCTAGGACTGCCCAGAACGAATTGGACAACAATGTAGTGGTCCCGAGTGTTGATCAGGAGACTGCGGTTGTCAACCAGGAAGATGGAAGACACAATATTGGTTCCAGCAAGATCGTTGGCCCAGCTCGAAATTGGCCTCCAAGGCAAAAGCAGGTAGGTACTCTACCAAGCAGTCTGCAAATCAGAAGCTGCTTCAAGTCCTTCACTAGGTCTTGAAAGAAACTACAATGATACCTCGGTGCCAGAAAAAAAGGGAGTCACATTGCGAGATTTTGATGAATCCAGACATGAATGTTAATATCTTTGAACATCATGATTGGAAGGCTCAGGCGCCGTCTCTGCTGGAGGCCTCCTGCTACTTTTCTTGTGCAAAGCCAATGTCTTTCTTATAATGAGAGCTTGGGAGCTGGATCCAGGGGGATGCCATGTTTCGCGTTGCACCCTTGCTGATGAAAAATGGCTGACAGAACCTGAATTCTGACAGATACATCTCCAGAACAGCCCTGTCAGATGCCAAACAGCTGCATTATTGACACTGGATGTCTGCGAGCAGAAGAAGGTATGAGCTTTCTGTCAAAAAGAGGAAGGGGGGGATGCGTCATGTATGCCCTTTAGCTCAACTTCAAGAAACGCTATCAGAGTGTCGAAGTCTAGCATAATACCCCACGGTTTGACTGAAGAAGACCTGAACCTGCTTTGTGTGCAGCACTTTGCCTACTTTCTTGTCATGGACTTGGAGTGGACTTGTGACAAGGGGGACAAACAGCCTGGTAAGTCTTGCCACCCGGTCACGCAACTTTTCCCTGGTATACTTGCTGCATTCAATGATGTTGTGCTCAATTGAGGTCATCTTGAGGCTTCTAAGTGTCTTGGGTCACTGTGGCTCTTGGGACAAGAATCAGATGAGAGACTGCGGCACAAAGGTCTTGTCTTTCTTGGATTCTCCACTGTTTCGTGCACCTTGTGCCCCAGCAACTGTGGCTGGACACCTTGATCATCAAACAGTAACTTAAGCAATTGATTGGGTCAAGCTTGTCTTGAGGTTGGACCAGATGAATTGCTTGTGAGCTTTGCATACACATTACATCCATGTCAAATCCTGGATAAACCAGCAGCTTGAGATTCCTCTAACCTACAGTTGTGATATAAACAGCTTCTAACTGGTTCGCCTGTTACCTGCAGAACCACAGGAGATATGGGAGTTTGCGACTGTTCTTTTCAACGCTGACACGCTGAAGATTGAGGGTACCTTCCAGACCTTTGTTCGACCAACAGAGCACCCTGTTCTGACAGACTTCTGCAAGCAAGTAACAGGTGGCAAACAAAAAGATGTCAGTAAGCAAAGCCCATGGTGTGAGTCGGTACGTCCTTCCTGCTTAGAAGTAGGTACCTGCAAAAGAATGACTAAGTCTACCCAATAACTGTGTTTGAAGGAGGCAGTGGGGACCCAAAGACTTTCGGATGTGGTTTTACATCATTTCCAACCTGCAACTGGGGAAGCAACTAGTTTAGCGTCTTACCGAAGCAGCAATACTGAATTCCTTCATGTCTTGCACGTCATTCTTTATGTGCACAAAATGGATGTGTGGTGCTCCATGCTTTGAGACCTTTCTTGGCTGCCCATAGACTTCAATATGTTTATCTTTTTGGCTTTCAAACAGCAAGTTGGCAAAACAAAAACAAAACAAAACAAAATTAAACTCAGAAGTAACCCAACCCGCCAGCGAACTCTACCGTCTAACAAAAAAGAAGGAAAGCAACCACAGGACAATCAGGTACAAGATGTCCGTTGAGTAATGCCCTTTGGGCACTGATAAGCTTGAGCGAAGATTGACAATGGCAGGAGCGATGCGTGTCTGCAGGTTGACCGCGGCACGTCGCTCCAGGATGCACTGGAGGCACACGACAATTGGCTCCTAGAAAAGCGCCTCTTGGACGAAAGACAAGAGGAGGCAGTGAGGGAGAGAGAAGACATGGTCGACTTCGCAGTGGTGACTTGGTCGAGTGGAGATTGCAAGGTCAGTTCTCAAACTTACCTGAGTTGAGTCAAGGTGTTGTAGGGGTTCTGTGTTTAGCTTTTCATCTTTTCCTTCTGTCAGGCAGTGCCTCCACTTCTTTCTGTGTTGGACACAGTAGACTCGTTTGCAACTTCTTGAAGAAAGTGGAAATCTGTCTGCTCGCTCCTGTCGTCCGTTATATCAAATTCACCGAGAGTCATCGAGCCATTCTTCTTTGAGTGGGTATTCAACGAGAGTATTCTAGCTTGGAAATCGTCGAGGATCTTCGTAAAAGGCAGCAGGTAACTTCAGTGCTTCGACAGCCTGATGTCAGCTCCGGACTCCAGTGTCCGGAGCTGACAACCAAGCTCGACAATGATTGTCTCGAACTGATGAGGCCAAGTATATTTGCTGCCAGAGACGAGCCCTGCCTGAAGGGCTGAGCTCTTTCTGTGGTTCTCTAGAATGCTCTTCGCATGTTCCCTGGACGCAGACGATTGCAAGGAATGTGGAGAGCGAGACGGGCTCACTGATGGCGACCTCTACCTGCAGATTCTGGATGCAGAGTGCAGATACAAGAAGATCAGGAAGCCCGCCTACTTTGACAGGTAGGCTCGTTGTACGCGCTTCCAAGCTTTCGCACTATATGGAAATCATCGGTCGTAAGATATTCCACGCCGATTCCACGCAAACAAATGAGTGAACGTCGCTGCACCGGTCTCGGCTGTGTGAACAGCCAACTTATTGCGCACAGCTTTGTCTCCTTGGACGGATTCGTAGTCGTGAAACGCCGCTTCTTGGGCAGCCCATCTGCCCATTTGGTGCTGACGTCAGTTGGTTTACAACTTGTCAGTCTTTACTACCTTTTGGACTCCGCTGTACTATAACGACTGCTAGAAGCGAGGATAGTCAAGTTTCTACGTTCGCTTTACGAAAGTACTCCACCCTTATTCAAGTTGGAGCAGGCTTGTTGGAAGGCGAACCTATCGAAACCCGGATGGTGGAGCTCCGAGTCGGCACACTCTGCGGGACAACAAAGATGCAGGGCCGTCTTTCTGGCTGCTATTTTGGTATGCCCATCCTGCCTAGCTAAACGTTTTTCCACTTGGTGTCTGCAGGTGGATCGACTTGCGTGAGTTTTGGACCCGTATGCCAGGGTATCGAGACGTCGAATACGTTCTCCAGGGTGGCCTAGAGGCGCACGTGGAGTATTCTGGCTTGGAGTGAGAGGGCCGTGCACACTCAGCCATTGACGATGCCAGGAATACGGCACGTCTGGCTGCGGCATGATCCAAAAAGGGCAGCTGCTCCAAATGGGGCGACATAAGCTGGATGCTGACGGCACGTACATACCAGATTATAACGTATGGTGATGAATTGAGGTAGTGATTGGGAATCGCTAATCCCTTAGATGCGGCTGCATGCTGCAGGCTATGCAGTTTGGTGTTGAACAAGACGCTTTGACTCCTAGCTAGACTATTATGAAGACTATGGCTTGATTGGTTGGTTCACTATTTACGGTTGATAACATGTAGACCTGCTATTAGGTTACGGCGGGCCCGTACTAAGTCAACAATTGACGTTGGCTTATGCATTCTACGTATTTTTCAGTGCAGTCCTAGGAGAAGACGCTCTGAACTCAGGCTTGGTGGATAGACTACGTCATAAACTTGAACCGTCAGTAGAAGATTGATATAATTTATCTGTTCGGAGTCTGCAGTCAAGGTTGCCGGCAATGGCCTGCACGGTCACTAGACAGATCATTCGAGTCGACGTTGATTTTGACCAGACGAGCCGAAAGTTATAAGAGACGATCCGTAATCAAAGATTTAAGTATGTTTTTGGGCAACCCAATCGGACAAATGATGCAACAGCAGAGCTCAGTCTTGCCGCCGTCTGTGGGAGCGGAAACGCCGCGTCGCGGTGAACCACCTGCTCTCAGCGCGCGCGCAGGCTGTAGCCGCCATGACCCGCCGGATCAATGCAGACCGTCCGCAGGGCAGAAAAAGTAAGAGATACTACAAACGAGTACGGTTAAGGGAGCCCATGACGACGTGTCGTACTGCACGTGCGTGACTGCACGTCACTGCCGGCCGGGAGCAAACACGACATGTTTTCATAATATCTTTTGTTCAAGTCCGACATGTCCCGGGCCGAGCTCTTGAGTCCGGATGATTATATGCAGACGTGATCGCTTCCGCCATTTAGAGTCGCACGACCGGATTCGATGAAACTCAAAGGGCAGATCTACTGTTAATCATATCAGCATTCCCACGAGCTCCTTGGGTTTCTTCCCCAGAAATCTTGAACCCAGGACACAAACTATCTGCGAATGCATGCTACACACACAGCGTATGCTCCGCACAGCTGCACTGGCCTTGTTATGTTTCCTGTTCATCCTACTAATTGGTAACCATGCTTATACGTAACCTACATATCTCACAGTGTCTAAGAATTTCCGGAGGCAAGTTCTTGCCTCGATCTCGCGTAGCAATGCTAAATCTTTATAACGTGTCCGACATTGCAACTCGTGGATATTTGTGAAGACTTGTAAATTTTTCTTGAGGAATCTACACATAAGCTATTCCTTCACTGTCAAGGCCGTGAGGCCCCGTCGCCGCTGCTCCAGCACTTCCTCAGCCAGCACGAGCATCTTCCGGTGGTTCTCCACCGTCTCCTGCAGGGCCTCGTTGCTCATAGCCTCAAACGTCTTCCGCAGGTGCGACTCCTCCCGGCTTCGCTTCTCTAGCGTCTCCTTGTATAGTGTGTTGTTCCGTACAGTGGCGCCCATTTGCTTCAGCCGCTGGACCTGCAGATTGGAAACATGGGCTGTCAAGAGGGCGTCGGAGGAAACAGTAAGCGGCGACCGTAAGGCAGTTGTGACACAGCTACAGCGGCTGATGGTAGAACACTTTGGGAACAAACACCGGCAATCTCGAAGGTGCAAACCTACTATCCGCGCTGGCTGAGCGCATAAACAACAAGCGACTATCATGAAAGTACGGAGATGTGCAAGAAACTGCTTTAGGATCACGTTATCAGATAGGTCTTGTAAAGACAAACAAGCTCATTTGACGTTCTTTCC